ATACTTTCTTACTTTTCTTTGGTTAATTTTGGCTTAACAGTTTAGAAAACCAATCAGTTTACATAGAAAATGAAGATTTTACCCAGTTACATGATTAGATCTCTTTAGAAACCTGTACTTGTAAGAGTACATCCTCTTTCCATCCTCTTTATGAATTTCCTTAAGGACATAACATTAGGATTATACCCATAGTTAATGCTCTGACAAAAATTCATAACTGACAAAGATATTTGGCTATACATACCAGTTTAACATAATAGCCGACCATTAATTCCTGGGAATCTCAAATTATTTTGGAACACAATGCATATATAGACATACAAATACATAACATTTATACATATAACTCAAATATAATACCAAGAAAATTAGAATTACTTAATATGACAATGCTTTCCATTATATCCAACATATAACCAATAATCCTGATTGGTTTAACATCTCCCTTTCGGATGTTTCAGGGGCCCTCTGTGAACATCCAAGAGTTACTTTGAGGTCAACGGTCCTCTGTTAGCACTAAAACTAAAGCCAGAAAAAGCCAGTCATGAATTTGTTTCTCTGGTAGATATCTGCTATGTAAAATGCAACACATGACACATAAATACTATTTGTTTCATTAAACCAACCATATGAAGATAAACATGATGTTGTTTGATTAATAAAGACCTGGACAAAATATATGTTGGAAATTGTGAAGACTTTCACTTATTAATCTTTTTCTTTCATTCTATTTGAAGCCAGCTCATTCACTAAAGTTACATGAACTTGAGAAACATTTAAACCAATTTTTATGAGCACTCTTTTTATAAACCAAATTGAATAGAATTTAAGGCCTTTTTTTTTCACACAGACATACAACATTTAGTATGTAACATGACATTTACATGCATAGATGCACACACACATCAGGATTACAAGAGCCAATTTCCCTAGGGTTACTTTAACATTGATTCTCTTTCGAGTAACCCCCTTTTTTGAAATTTGTAATTATACACTTAAGGATGGTGGAAATTTAACTTTTTTTTTTTTTTGGAGAGATTTTTCGCTATAGGGCGCGTGCGCTCGCCAGACAGACAGAGAGAGACAGAGAGACAGAAAGCGAGAAATCACCCCCCAGGGGGGATGGTCACGCCGCAATCCCTTCTCCTCCATTCTCCTCTCGGGATCTTGGGCACGCACGCACACATGCCCGGCGTGAGTTTTAAGCCACCGGGTCCGGGACACAAACCGCGGTTGACTACATGGGAGTCCAGCAACATAGCCATTACACTAAACTGCTGGTTCCCGGAAATTTAACTTTTTGCTGCCTATACCATCAGAATTTTTTTTTTTTTTTTTTTTTTTTTTTTTTTTTTCAAACTTTTTTCTGTGGGCACGTGCCGCCAAGACAGAGTAGTTTTACTGTAGGGCATGTGCGCCTGCCGGAAAGACAGAGAGAGACAGAGAGACAGAAAGCAAGAAATCACCTCCCAGGGTGATGGCCACGCTACAATTCCTTCTCCGCCATTCTCCTCTCAGGATCTTGGGCACACATGCACATGTGCCCAGCGTGAGTTTAAGCTACTGGGTCTGGGACTAGAACCGTGGTTGACTACATGGGAGTCTAGCAACATAGCCATTATACCAACTGCTGGTCCCAACCATTAGTTTTTACAACACAAGTATTATTGATATTTCTACCCCTTTTAAGTGTAATGTTTTCAAAAGGCCCTCTCAGTTTTTGGATTTAGAGTTTGATGCCATAATCACAACTTAAGCTCCCTCTGTTGGGGGTGCTTCCCTTAAGGGCAGCATGGCCTCTGAGGAATCCGGGCTTCCTTCCTCCCTCATTTCCCTGGATCTACTTCTGGTGAGGGGGGCCAAGGAGGCTGCCTCCTGGTGGCCTCTCATTGCCCTCCCTAGGTTGATGCCTGCTAGGATTATATGGGGGAGGAAGAGTCAACTCCTCAGGATCAGACTGTAGGATAGGGGACTTTTGTTCTCTTTGCTAGGACTCTTTCTGTGGGCCAATCACAAGAATACGGTTCCCTGTTTTTAAAGCACAATTTCTCAGCCAGGGTTGGGGCCGCTGGACTAAGGATATGTCCAGGTCCACCCGATTCACCTGTGACAACTTTCCAAACAGGTCGTGCTTCCTAAATATCAAAGGACCCTGTTATAGTCCACACCACCCCAAGAGTGGGCCATTCAACTTCACACAGGGTTCTCAACCTCTGTTTTGAAAGCTTGCCACCATAATCACACCCTTCTACAAAGACCTCATCAAAATGGTGTAGCATGCAGCTAAGGGGAGTATTAAAAGAGCTATTTTTGGCTCCCATAATTTTTAGAATTAAGACAAGAAAGGAAACAAACACTTTGACCTCATCAGAATGGAACTCTTGAAGAACTCCTTGGTATGTGAGGTCAATAACCCATTGTTCAATATCCTTCAAGGAAGAAAATGGAGGAGAGGGGACCAGCAGTTAGCGTAATGACTATGTCGCTGGACTCCCATGTAGTCAACCATGGTTTGAGTCCTAAACCTGGTGGCTTGAACTCATGCCAGGCACGTGTGCATGTGTGCCCAAGATCCCGAGAGGAGAACAGACGAGAAGGGATTGAGGCGTGGCCATCACCCTGGGGGATGATTTCTCGTTTTCTATCTCTCTTTCTCTCTCTGTCTTTCTGGCGAGTGCAAGTGCCCTATAGCAAAAACTTCTCCAAAAAAAAAAGAAAAGAAAGAAAAAGAAAACTGAGGATAGAACTAATTAATATTTTCCAAGAGAGTATAGAGAAAATTAATGAAGTGACAGTAGAGGCGAAAGAAACCCATAAAGGTTCCCAAATTTCCAGACCTTTAGCCCCCTGATTCCAAGCACCTCTGGTGGAACCTAAGTAGGGATTCTATAACCGCGTCCAGCCAGCCCTGAATCCAGTCACCTGTGGAGGAATTCCCAAAACTTCTTGGGATTCAGATCTTGTCAGGGACCTTTAACCCTGGTCTCAATCCCTTAGCAGGTCCGACTCCGGGGGCAGCCCTGCATAGCCACCTGCAATCTAGCAGGTCGGACTTCAGGGGTCCCTTGCCAACCCTGTACTCACTGATTCTTCTTCCAAACAACAGGACAGGACAGGAACACCCAAAGAAAAGCCTCCAGAAGTCCTGCAGTAAAACTCCACAATATTTTGGAGGAGCAGGTGGTGTCTCTTGTCACCTGTCAACAATCACAAGAACTCCAGGGCCCTTGGAAATCCCAGGTGGCGCCTCCCCAAGAACCATCTCCGGGTAGCCGGCAGCCTGCTCTCCTTAGGATGCCTCACACACATACCAGACAGGTACGGATCTCGCTGGGGCCTCCAAATGTTATATATAGTCTACTCGGCAAGAAATAAGAGGATTTCCAGACACAGTCAAATTTATTGGAGTTTATTAAGTCAGCAGCATGAGGCGGTGGGAGGACAACTTATGTCTCTCAAAACCCTGCTGCCCCAAGTGAAAGGAGAAAGGAGCTTATATAGGCCAAAAATGCACGATCATGTCTGGCATGACATGAGGATTCACAAGGACAAAGAGCCATGGGCTTGAACGGGTAGAGGGTAGGGTTTCACAATGTAAAAGCAAGCAAAAGTGCATCACAGTGGCAGGACAAGCAGGTAAGCAGGTTAATCACCCTAAGGCTATGTTCCATCTCTACCCAAACACAATGGAATCTCAATAGTCTTTATGGCCCCGGGCAAGGCCCAGTGATTGGACCTTAACTTAAGACAATCAGGAGGAGGGGGGTTTTAAGAAGAAAAGGAAAGTTACTCTGTTTACTTTTAGGCAAAAAGGAGAATGCAAGTTTCTGGTTACAGGAATTTAACAGTTTATAATGAAGGCGATCTTCCAAGATGTAGTAGTAGCTCCTGCTTCATTCCCCATTTCTCTTGGAGGCGCTTCTCCAAGATGGAGTCGCTTCTCCAAGATGGAGTCGCTTCTCCAAGATGGAGTCACACCTGCTTCATTAGTATTTTTTTTGGAGAGGTTTTTGCTATAGGCCACATGCGCTTGCCTGAAAGACAGAGACAGATAGAAAGTGAGAAGCCATCGGCGGCCACACTGCAATCCCTTTTCCTCCGTTCTCCTCTCGGAATCTTGGGCACACATGCACACACACCCAGCATGAGTTTAAATCACCGGATCAGGGACTCGAACTGCAGTCCACTACATGGGAGTCCAGCTACATAGCCATTACTCTAAGTGCTGGTCCTGATTAGCATTTCGATTTTTGCCACTTTCTGTGTTAATTAAATCCTTCTGAAATTTTAATGTTGCGCTAAGCCTACGTTTGGATTGCACAAAGAACACACTTATGAAGAGAGTTCAGTAGGATTTATTAATAGAACTGGGAGCGATAACAGCCATTAGATAGTTCACTACGCTTCCAGAATTCGTTAGAAACTAGGTTGACTGCATTTAAGAGTTTGAAAGGGTCAAATTTTCCAGGAAAGATAACAGGAATACACTCTGCGGTAACTGGAAAATCTGAGTTACTATTACACAATAAGCCAGGCTGTTCATTTCAACGTTCAGCCTCCTCTGGAGGGTTAAGATCCATCATGCCTACCACCGGATCGCACATTTCCTGGGGCTAACGGCCGGCTGCCCCATGTGCCAGAAAACTACATTTGGGTGACTATGGAAACAATCCGCCAAGGTAGAGGATGAATCTCCGTACTCCTTCCTAGAGCACTTCGGACACCAGCCGAGAGCAAGATGGCGCTTCCCCTCGCCACCTCTCAGGGACACAAATTTTCATAACGTAAATCACGCACTGGGAGGGCATCCTTGCCATTACTTAACATGGCGAGCGGGGCAACCGCGCCGGTTCCAGCTTCCAATATGGCGCCCCCAACCTGCGTTGCGGAAGAGGTTAATCGAAGCAGAGCTCGAGCGGAAGTGGCGCGAGCGGAAGTTGCCGCGCATCGCAACTCCCCGCCCCCAAGTCCCTCCCCGTTCCGACGCCCCGCCCCTCGTGGCGCGGAAAGCGGAGCCAAGATGGCGGCGGAGTTGGAGTATGAGTCTGTGCTGTGTGTGAAGCCGGACGTCAGCGTCTACAGGATTCCGCCGCGGGCCTCCAACCGCGGTTACAGGTACTAACCCGAGGCATCGCGCACAGGCGTACGCGCTGGGGACGACAGTTTCCTCCTCGAGTAGCACGCTGTGCGTTCCTGCCACTACCACCTCTGGGTTGTCACCTTCTAGCCTCTCCACTTGGGTTGTCATCGTCCTGTCCTTGTTCACCGCTACTCTAGGCTGTCCTTTTCTTTGTTGCCGCTGTTTTTGTTTTTGCTTTTAAAAATTATCCTGTATCATCCCACCCCTCCTCCCTCATACCCGCGGGACACCCATCTGCTCCCCATCATCCCCATCCAGTCATCGCCAGTCAGCCGTTCGCTCTTCCCTGCGCCCTTCAGCTTGTCATCCTCATCGCTCTCTCTCTCTCTCTCTCTCTCTCTCGTGCACACACACACACTTCCGATACCCGGTACACACCTGTGGGTACTCATTGTCTTTCTGCCAACTCCCTGGATGATCTCATTGATCTTTTGTACTGTTGTCAATCTTGCCACCAAGTATCATTCACCATTCGATTTTTTCCCTCAGCTGTTTTGCCAGTGAGCCAAGGGTATGATTATAAGTTTTCCTGTAGGTGTCCATTATGTTCCTTTTCATTATATTTTGTTGATGATTATATAGTATTTTCTGCCTGTCTGCCTTCCTTCCCCTCATAACCTCACCTGTAGCTTTTTCCTCCAGGATAACCCCAACATTTTCTATGTAAGGCATAAATAACCACCTTGTAATCCTATGACTGTGAGGACCTGAGGATATTGTAGGGTGTTATATAGTTAAAATAATTTTGAGTCATGAGTTAAAAATATTGAATATGAGCCCTGACCACTTAATAACTGGATAATTTAAGGGTAGATTGCTGCTCTAAGCCTCAGTTTTCTTATCTGTAAAATAGTAAAAAAAAAAAATAAAAAGTTGATGAAAATAATACATGCTCTTTTTATGTACCTCACAGAGGTTTTGGAAAACAAAATGAAGTCATATAATGGATGTGAAAGAATTTAGAGAGGCCAGCAGGTGGTGTGGTAGTTAAGGCGCTGGACTCCCACATGGCCAATTGTGGTTTGAGTCCCGCATGCCAGATGCATGTGTATGTGTGTGTCCAGAATTCCAAGAGGACAATGCATCATGGCCATCCTCCTCGAGGGGTGATTTCTCACTTTACCTTTTATTGTCTCTCTCTCTCTGGTTAGCACATGCTCCCTTGTCCTATAGCAAAAACTTAAAAAAAAAAAAAAAGTAGGAAATAGGCATTTATTACTACTTTGTCTGAAAAGTTACCATTTCTTTATGGCCATTTTTTTTTCTGTTATCCTCCTTACCAGAGATTTGTTCATTATAAATCAATATATTTTTGCTTGCCAACCTATGCCCTGTACCCTGTGGGCCATACATTTTGGCAAATAGGTGATAGTTCTTTCAACAGCCAGATTCCAAATTGATCATGGACAGGAATCCACATGCTTATTAATGACAGTTACAAGTACTGTGTACATATGACTCAATTTTGACATCTCCTTCTTTGGAAAACTCTCCTTGACCTGTCCATTCTGGCTTGGGTATATTTGCTACGTGCTCTGTAGTACCCTGTGCTTGCCTCTTGCATGATACCCTGCTGGATTGTTTAGTCTCCTCTTTCTTAAGACTAGAGTGGGAACAAGTTTTTAAACTCCATATTCCTAGGGTCTAGCACAGTCCCTGTCACATGTGAGCTGAAAGGAGAAATTGGTAGGTTACACAGATGAACCTAATCACATAAACTAGCATTGATTGAACTGTTAAATAAGGTAAAATAGTTTGTGACTTCCACATTTAGGAGTTAAGACTTCCTAAAAGATATGACACACATTGAAGCGAGGTTCTATTCTTTTTTTTCTACGTCAGCGTTTTAAAAATCTGTACTAGTCAGGATTTTCTCGGGAGACAGAACCAATAGGATATGTATAGATATGTAAGAGCGGATTTATTGGGGGGATCAGCTCATGACAGCTGAGAAATCCCACAATAGGCCATCTGCAAGCTGAAGATCCAGGGATTCTGGTAGATTACGGTGGCTGAGAAATCCCACAACAGGCCATCTGCAAGCCAAAGATTCTGGAATTCTGGTGGCGTGGTTCTGTCCAAGTCCCCAGGCCCCAGGCCTCAGGCAGGGAATCTGATGATGTAACTCACAGTCTGAGGCTGACAACCTAAGAAAGAACCCAGGGGGCAGCTGGAGTATAAATCCTGGAGTTGGAAGGCAGACGAGCTTTGAGTTTTGATGTCTGAGGCAACAGAAGAAGGCTGTCTTGCTCCCTCTTGAAAGAGACCCATTTATCTTCCCTCTTTCATACATCTGCATTCTTTACCTTCACTTGCTAGTTAATCCATAGCCTTCATCTTTATATATGTTAACTGCACCAAACCAGCAAAGCAGTTCCTTAATTTTAATTTGTTGTTATTTTTTTTTCCCTGTTATTCTGTGTTTTCTCATGCTGAATACTGGCATTTTTATTCTTCAAAAGGCATTTTATCATCATTCACTCTTTTAGTGTAGTAAATGAAGAGAACAGAACTAAGTTTGAATGTGACTCTTCATTTATTTGCTGGGTTACCTTTGGCAGATCACTTAACTCTTCTGAACTTTAGTTTCCTTATCTGTAAAAATGGATATAATAATACTTAATCTTGCAAGATCTTCTCACTTAATTTTCACAGAAATGCATATAATGTTTGCATATAATATTGATGCTTAATAAATATTACTTTTTGTCCTTTATCTGCATAATCTTTCTTGTTGTTTACCAGAATCCTTTTTACATTGCAAACATGATTTATTCTTTAGGCTGCCATTATAGAGCAAGCTGGACTTTTTCTCAAGCAGGAGGAATTCTTTCTCTGAGTGACTAATAAGATCAAAGAGAATAAATGAATGATTCACCTAGTGTAAGCTTTTGCTTCCCGGGCTTTCTCTAAAGACTTCTGGAACTATGAAAAGACAAATTTAGGTTGATGAGAAACTTATAAATGAGAAGAAAATGGCTTTTAAACCTATAAAACCATTTTTTAAACTTTATCACTATCTTCCTCCCTTAGAGAAATTAACATTGAGTCCTATAGTTTTTTTTTTTTTTTCAAGAGATTTTTGCTGTAGGGGCTCATGCACTCACTGGAAAAGACAGAGACAGAAAATAAGAAATCACCCTCTAGGGAGAATGGCCATACCACAGCCTCTTCTCCATTCTCCTCTTGAGATCCTGGGCACACATGCACATGTGCCTGGCTTGAGTTTCAAACCACTAGGTCTAGGACTTGAACAACAGTTGGCCGGCCATGCAGGAATACAGTGCGTTAGCCACTTTGCCACCTACCGGCCCCATCCTGTAATGAAAAAACTGATGGACTTTGAAGTTAGGCATTATTTTTATTGATTTATTGTCCTTTTTTTTTTTTTTTTTCCCAGAGAAAGACGATAGATAGACTTCATATGACAGCTGTAAAGTTTTGGGAAAAGGGCCTGCAGGTGGCATAGTATTCGAGGCACTGGTCAACCATGGTTCAAATCCCAGACCTGGCGGCTTCCTTTCTCTCTTACTCACTTTCTTTCTCTGTGTCTCTCTGGTGAATGCATGTGCCCTGTAACAAATTAAATAAAATGAAATAAATTTTTAAAAAATTTAGTAAAATGTGGAATCTCACAATCATGGATTTTTTTTTTGTTGTTGTTTGTTTGTTTGTTTGTTTTAGTTTTAACCAGAGGGTACATGCACTTGCCAGACAGAGAGAGAGAGAGAAAAATCCTCCCCCCCGCCCCCAGGGGAATGGCCATGCCACAGTTCCTTCTCCATTTTTCTCTTGGGATTTTGGACATGCACACACATGCCTGCATGTTCTCATGTCACCAGGTCCGAGACTTGAACTCAGTCGACCATGTGAAATCTAGCCACTTTAACCTCCATGACACTTGCTGGCCCTCTAACAATAGCGATTTATAAATAAGTTTCAGTGTTAAGGTAAAAGACAGCTTGTGTGGTTAATTTAAAGAATTGTCAGAAGACCAGCATCAGCAGGAGTTCTTTCTGCTGGGTCTTGGCAAAGAGAGGAACTAAAGCTCAACACAGAGCTGCCAGGAATATTCATTTATTTACTGAGAACTTGTTAAATACTGAGCACTAGATATTCAAGTTAAATGACAAGGAACCTCTCCAAAGAAACACATCTAGTAGGTTTGCTCTTCATATTTTCAATGGCCCAGTAACACTAAATCTAACTCTTAGTGGTATGACTAGAATCATAAGTGACTTATTTAAAAAAAAAAAAAATAGGAGGGAACCTATGGAATGTTGTAATCTGGACCAGATTCAGATAATCAAGGATCTTTGAGGACAGGACATCAAGAGAGGAAGGAATGAGAAGGATTTATCTTATGGATCCTGTTCAAAACTGTTGTTGATTTTAAATTTAACTTTCCTTTTTTTCAGCCTTTTGCTTATCATCTTATTAAACCCATTCATGCTGATAGATGCCTTATGGTTACTTTTCTACCTTGAAAGTGTTAGTATTCAGATTCCTAAGGAATGAATTATGAATACCTTTTACTTTACTTTCCCTTTCTCACACTTCTGGCAAAACAAATCTTAAGTGCTTTGTAAAGTTGCCCGTAAATAATATTAAATCTCTTTCAAGTTTATTGATACACAGATTATAAATATTTAGTGTTACCCTTCTTTTCACGAACATTTGTATCTTCAGCCCAGATGTCTTTCCTGGTCTCCAGTCTCATGTATTTTTTTTTTTTTTTTTTTGCAGAGATTTTCACTGTAGGGCGCGTACGCTAGCCAGACAGACAGAGAGAGACATAGAGACAGAAAGCGAGAAATCACCCCCCAGAGGGGATGGTCACGCCGCAGTCCCTTCTCCTCCATTCTCCTCTCGGGATCTTGGGCACGCACGCACACGCGCCCGGTGTGAGTTTTAAGCCACCGGGTCCGGGACACGAACCGCGGTTGACTACGTGGGAGTCCAGCGACATAGCCATTACGCTAACTGCTGGTTCCCCAGTCTCATGTATTTTGTTGTCTACCCTGCATCATCTCTTGAAAAAGTATTGCACCTCAAACTCAGCATATCCTCTGATCGTTTTTCTCAGACATGCTCCACCTTAAGCCTTCCTCCTCTCAGTTACTGGTAACTACTTTGCTCAGGCTAACCATCTCTTAGACCTCTTTCTCTTTTGCTCAGCATTCAATTTGTTAGAAAATTTCATTGCTTTTGCTTTGAATATATCCAGAATCTAGCTGCTTCTACTATTTCTTCTAATTCACTGACTTGACTCACTTAGATAGCTGCAGTAGTCTCTTAACTAATCCCCTGCTTCAGCCCTGCTATCCCTACATCTCTTTGCTACACAGCAGAGAAAGTAATCCTTTTAAAATATAAGGGTGATTGACCCAGCTGGTCTGATGATGAAGGTGACTGTACCCCACATGGCCAGATGTGTGGTTTGAGTTCTAAACCTGGCAGCTTGAAAAGCATACTGGGCTATGACCAGCAGATGGTGTAATGGTATCATTGCTTGACTCCCACATGGTTGACTGCAGTTTGAGTCCCGGGCCCAGAGGCTTAAAACTCACACTGTGTGCATGGCCAAAATCCTGAGAGGTGAATAGAGGAGAAGGGATTACCATGTGGCCATCCTCACTGTGGGGTGATTTCTCTGGGGGGTGATTTTCTTGCTTTCTGTCTCTCTGCCTCTGTCTCTCCAGAAAGTGCACACACTGCAAAATCTCTGCAAAAATCTCTTAAGAAAGAAAAACATACTGGACGTGTGTGTGTGTACATGCCCCAAATCTCAAAAGTAATGGAGAAGGGACTGTGGTATGACCATCCTCCATGGGATGCTTCTTGTTTTCTTTCTCTGTGTCTCACTCCTACAAATGCACATGCTCTCTGGCCAATATATGTGTGTGTGTGTGTGTGTGTAGAGAGAGAGAGAGAGAGAGAGAGAGAGAGTTATTACATGTCTGCTTAAAACCTGAAGCAACTCTTTTATTCAGAATAAATGCCAAGATTAATTTTCCTTGAGAGGGCCTATGAGGACCTACATGATTTGACCCTCTGTGACCTCTCCCACCTGGTCTGTTACTTCATTCTAATTACAGTGACTTCTTTGCTGTCCTGCAGACATGCCAGGCATGCTCCCACCTTAGCATCTTTGCACTAGCAGTTTCGTATGCCTAGAACGCTTCCCCCCCACATGCCTGTATGGGTGACTCTCTCTCTTCACCCTTCTCTTCACATTTCACCTTGTTAATAAGGCTTAACCCTGACTATCCTCTTGAATGCTGTAATATATGTAATATGTAATATATGCTGTAATACATGTCCGCTTTCCCACTGTCCTCCTAATCTTCCTTATCAGTCTCTACATTTTCTTTTTACCGTAGCACTTTCATCTTTTAATATACTTACTGTGTGTATACATAGAGAATCCAGAGGAATCCATGAAAAAAACAAAACAAAACTAGAACTGACAAATAAATTCAGTAAAGTTGCAGGATACTAAGGCAATATACAAAAATCTATAGTATTTTTATTCATCAACAATGAACAAACAGAATTTAAGAAAGTATTCCCATTTATAATTCCTACAAAACAGATAAGATACCTAAGAATAAATCTAAGCAAAGAAGTGAAAGACCTTTACAAGGAAAACTAAGAAACTAAAAAAACAAATTGAGGGACCAGCAGATGGTGTAATGGTTACGTCACTGGACTCCCATGTAGTTGACCATGGTTTGAGTGTTGGATCCACTGGCTTAAATTTCATGCCAGGCGTGTGTGCTTGCATGCCCAAAATCCTGAGAGGAAAATGGAGAAGGGATTGCGGTATGGCCATCCCCCTAGGGGTTGATTTCTAGCTTTCTGTCTCTGGTGAGCACATGTGCTCTATAGCAAAAATCCCTTTAAAAAAAAAAGAAAAAAATTGAGTATGATACAAAAAGAATGGCAGGACATCCTATGGTCTTGGATTGGAAGAATCAGTATAATCAAGATGTCAGTCCTAATCAGATTGATTTACATATTCAATGTGATTCCGATCTAATAACCTGAGACATTCTTCACAGAAATAGAAAACACAGTTCCAGAATTTATTTGGAATCAGAAAAGACCTCATATTGCTAAGCAATACTGTACCAAAAAAAAAAAAAACAAAAAAAAACGCATCTCACTACCCAACTTTAAAATATATTACAAATCAGTGATAATCAAAACAGCATGGTACTGGCACAAAAATAGATACACAGGCCAATGGAACAGCATAGATAATCCAGAAATAAACCTCAAATTATACTGTCAACTGATCTTTGATAAAGTATAAGACAATGTAATGGAGAAAATAAAACATTTTTAGCAAATGGTGTTGGAAGAACTATGTATCCATCTGCAGAAAAATGAAACTGGATCCCTATCTCCCACCATTAACTAGAGTTAATTAAAAATGGAGCAGAGATTTAAATATAAAACCCCTAACTACAAAACTACTAGTAGAACATGTAGGAGAAACTTTGAAGACATTGGAGTAGGCAAAGATTTCTTAAATAAGACTCCTAAAGCACAGGCAATGATCCCTAAAATAGACAAGTGGGATTACTACAAGCAAAAAAACTTCCTGTCAGCAAAGCAAACTATAACTAGAGTGAAAAAGACAAGGCAACCCTTGGAATGGGAGAAACTATTTGCAAATTAATTCTCAGACAGGAATTGGTATCTAAAATATATTGGGAACTCAAGCAGCTAGATCACAGGGAAAAAATAATCCAATTAAAAAGTGGGCACATGAATTGAATAGACAACTCTCCAAGGAAGACCTAATGGCTAACAGGCATATGAAAAAATGTTCAGTCTCTTGTCAAAAGGGAAATCCAAATTAAAAGTGACAAGATACCAACCCCAGTTAGAATGGTGAGGATCCAAAAAAATAAACAAGTTTTGGTGAGACTGGTGAGAAGGGAACTCTCTTATATTATTGATGGCAATGTAAATTAGTCAAGCTTTTGTGGAAAACAATATGGAAGTTTCTTAAAAACCTGCAAGTAGAACTTCCATATGACCCAATGATTCCACTTCTTGGTATTTACCCAAAGGATAGGAAAACCCTCAATTGGAAAAACACTTGCACATCCATGTTTATTGCATTATTATTCACAATTGCTAAAACGTGGAACCAACCTAAGTGTTGGTTCCCTATTATGTTCCATTTTTGTTGTCTCTCTCCTGTTAGAATGTCAGCCTCAAGAAGGCAGGAATCTTCATTTGTTCACTATTGTATCCCTTGTACCCACAGTAGTATCTATGAACTTAAACACTGTAAACATTTGTTGAAGTCAGTGAATAATAATGTGTTTAGGGACCAGCAGTTAGCATAATGGCTATGTCGCTAGACTCTCATGTAGTCAATGGCGGTTCATGTCCCAGACCCGGTGGCTTAAAACCCACGCCGGGCACATGTGCGTGCGTTCCCAAGATCCCGAGAGGAGAATGGAGAAGGGATTGCGGCATGGCCACCCCCATCATGGGGGGTGATTTCTTGCTTTCTGCTCTCTCTCTCTCATTCTGTCTAGCGAGCACATGCGCCCTATAGCAAAAACCTCTCCAAAAAAAAAAAAAAAAAAGAATAATAATGTCTTTAGTGATTCAGGGAGGCTTCTGTTGCCCAGGATATTGCATTTAGTAGAATCAGTAAAAACTATTATATAGAGTATCATCTATAGTATTAAAACAGTAATATTGTGGGAAATTTATTTATTTAAACATTGTTGTTTTAGAGGTTTTTTGCTTTAGGGTGTATGAGCTCACTAGAGAGAGATTGACAGAGACAGTGAGAATGAAAGTGAAAAATCACCTCCTGGAGGGATGGCCATGCTGCAATCCCTTCTCTTCTATTCTTCATTTTCTTGCTGGGATCTTAGGCATGCACGCACACACCCCCGGCATGATTTTCAAGCCACTGGGTCTGGGACTCGAACCACAGTTGACTATATGGGAGGGAGTCCAGCAATGTGACCACTATGCCATCTGCTGTCCTCAGAATTTTTTTTTATTGCTTTTATTTGTACTTTTACATGTTTTTATTGATGTTTATTGGACTCCAAAATCTTCAGGTGATAACATTCTTTTTTGTTTGCTTTGAACTTTATGTAAGAGACATCTCCATAGAGGAAATAACAGTTATTCTTGAAGAGAAGTTTTTGCTATAGGGTGCATGCACTCGCCAGAGAGACAAAGAGACAGAGAGAAAGAAAGCAAAAAATCACCCCCCAGGGGCAATGGCCACGCCACAATCCCCTCTTATCCATTCTCCTCCTGGGATCTTGGACATGCACGCACACACACCTGGTGTGAGTTTAAGCCATTGGGTCCGGGACTTGAACCGTGGTCGACTACATGGGAGTCCAGCAGCATAGCCATTATGCCAACTGCTGGTCCCGATTTTTTTTTTAAATAGTTATTTTATTTAACTTTATTTACTTATTTATTTATTTTTAATTTGGTCAGAGAGGGACAGAGAGAGGGAAGGTATTAGAACTAAGCAAGCTGCCAGGTTCAGGACTTGAACTGAGGTCAGCCATGTGGGAGTCCAGCGCTCTTAACCACCATGCCACTTGCCAACCTGTCTTGTTGATTATTTAATGGACAGGGAGAATGGGTAATCCAGGACAGGGAAATGGAAACATGGCACATGAGTCTGGGTAGGCTTCAGTGTATTAAAGACATGCACCTGAGGCTTCTCATTTTCCTATCCTAGGGCATCTGACTGGAAATTAGACCAGCCTGATTGGACTGGTCGCCTCCGAATCACTTCCAAAGGGAAGATTGCCTATATCAAGCTTGAAGATAAAGTTTCAGGTAATCTGTGCAAGTGACTCCAACGTATTAAGGATACAGTGTGGCATGCTTTTATAAGTACCTCCAAGTTGGGGACTGGGATGGAAATACTTATTAATTGGAATTCTGTGGTTTTGCTTCCATTGTTGAAAGTCGTCTTTTTAATCTGTCAGGAGAGCTCTTCGCTCAGGCACCAGTAGAACAGTATCCTGGTATTGCTGTGGAGACAGTGACGGATTCCAGCCGCTACTTTGTAATCCGGATCCAGGATGGTACTGGTAAGGGATTTGGGATTTTGAATGGAATGAGATTAAGAAAATAGTCGGTATACTTTAATGAAAGTGTGTCCCAATTGCATGTATCTTACTTCAGTTTACTTAATTTCTTTGAAGTTACTATAATTGTTGAAAGAGAAGGATTAACGTGTAATTTGTAATAGATATGAACACGAGTTCAATACAGTTAATAAATAGACTTAAGGTAAATCAAAATGTGTATCTAAATAAACATATTTTGCCCATTTATTGTTTGTGGTAGCTTTTGATGGGATAATCTCGAATCATCTATGACTAGGGCAGTCATTTTCAACCTTTCCTCCATATTCTATAAAAGTTGGCTAACAAAGACAAATAGTAAATATTTTAGGTTTGGGTCAGATGGTGACTGTTGGAACTACTCAGTTTTGCTGTTTCATGTAGAAGCAGCCATAGAGAATATATAAACAAATTGATGTGGCTATGTTCTAATAAGACTTGATTTACAAACAAGCTATGGTAGGATTTGGCCCATGGGCTGTATTTTGTTTGTCAATTCCTGGTCTGTGAGAAAGTGTTTCATATTCACAGACTTGGGTAACTTAGATTTTCATGGGACAGAATTCGTCAAAGGGGATACTCCTATTCTGAGTATTGTTATCTTTTCACAGGGCGCAGTGCTTTCATTGGCATTGGCTTTTCAGACCGGGGAGATGCCTTTGACTTTAATGTCTCCTTGCAAGATCACTTCAAGTGAGTTAAGCTTGTTCTTCGTTCTGAAGTTGAATGGTTGTGGGCGTGCTGCTTCTCAGTTGAAGGGGCACTATCTCCTTTCCTCCTGGTTTATTTGGCGAACTAGTTCATCATGAGTATAAATCTCCCATTCACATCTCTCTCCTTGTTTGTATCCTTTGCTTATAGCCTGGAATGTGTTTTCGATTCCGGTACAGTGGTTTGAGCCTGCTCTTGTTTATGCCTTTGGGAACGTGGCCCTTGCTGTTAGGTGGTGGGGGAGGTGTGTGGTAACAACAGCATTGTGTGTGAGGTATATGGAGTATATGGAAGTTATTTGTCAGTTTTGTTACCTGGTATGGCTGACATGTTTTGTGCCTGTTGCAACATTTCTTCAGCCCACCTGATTTTGGGACAGCTGTGGGGGACAACACCATGTACATCATCAGCTTCCCCCCTCAAGGGCAGGCAGGCCTCTGCTTTTCTGTGCCAGAATTCTCTGGGTTGTGGAAGGCCGCTCAGCACAGATGTGTAACTTGGGAGGACTGAGGAACTAACACTCTTAGCGGCAGCCCTCAAGCGCAGGCAATGGGAAGTGGTGGCTAATGCCTTCCTTTTGGAAGGAGCATATCTCGTATGCACTCTGTATGGATCCTCAGAGAGTTTTCAGAGGGGTTGAGTCCCGGAAAGGAATAAAAGCCAGGATCGAGAACAACTGGGGTTCACTCCCTCGATTGCCTTCTTTCTTAGCTTTCTTCCTTTCCTTTCTTTTCTTTTCTTTTTTTTTTTGAGAGATTTTCTTTTTTCTTAAACTATAGGATGCGTGCACTCACCTGGAGGGACAGAAACAGAGACAGAAAGCAAGAGATCACCCCGTAGGGGGATTTCCACTCCACAGTCCTTTCCCCTCCATTCTCCTCAGGATCTTGGGCACATATTAACATGGACCTGGCATGAGTTTTAAGCCACGAGGTCTGGGACTCAAACCGCAGTTGACTATGTGGGAGTCCAGCGGTGTAACCATTATGCCATCAGCTGGTCCCCCTTTTCTTTCTTTTCATAGTTCCTCTGCTTTCTGGAATCCTGCTTCACATAAACTGAATATACCCAAATTTGTGCGTTAGACTGTGCTTTCAAAGAATCCCAAACTAAGATAACTGATTATTTTCCCAAAGGTGGGTAAAGCAGGAATCTGAGATTTCCAAAGAATCTCAGGAAATGGATAATCGTCCCAAGTTGGATCTGGGCTTCAAGGAAGGGCAGACCATCAAGTTGAGTATTGGGGTAAGTGCCGAATGTTTTTAATTGTTTCCCATAGACCTGTAGCATTTCTCTCTTTTTCTCTTGCTCTCCCCTCTTTTTTGTTTTTTCTTTTGTAGAACATTACAACGAAGAAAGGAGGCGCATCTAAGCCCAGGACTGCAGGGACTGGGGGCCTCAGCTTACTCCCACCCCCACCTGGAGGCAAAGTCACTATTCCTCCACCATCCTCCTCAGTTGCCATCAGCAATCATGTTACCCCTCCACCCATTCCAAAATCTAACCATGGAGGTAGTGATGCAGGTAAATCTAGTATTCTAACTTTGAAAAATCATATCTTATGTTTTAATTGGTAACATCTGTTTGCCAAAGGTAGTGTTGATGTTTTTTTTCCTGTGAAATAGCTCTCGGTAACTGACTAGGTGATTCTGGCAAGGGACCAAAGCCTTTCTGGTGAACTAAGAGTCATAGTGTCTGTTAGGTTCTTGGGCAGAAAATTTATGGTTATTAAAAAAGACTGTTGGCGGGACCAACAGGTGGCATAATGGTTATGTCATTGGACTCCTATGTAGTCAACCACAGTTCAAGTCCTGGACCCAGTCATTTAAATCTCATGCTGGGCGCATGTGCATGCATGCCCAAGATCCCAAGAGGAGAAAAGAGGAGAAGGGATTGTGGCATGACCATCCCCACTGGGGGGTGATTTCTCACTTTCTGTCTGTGTCTTTCTGGTGAGTATATGTGCCCCATAGCAAAAATCTCTCTCAGAAAAAAAAAAAGAAAAAAGACTTGGCTTCATTGCACTGCAGTTAGATGATAGGCTTGAGTCAGGTAGACCAAGATGTCAGTCGAGGCTCTGCTGCTTTATATAATTGTGCCGGTTTTTTTTTTTTTTTTTTTTTTTTTTTGAGAGGTTTTCGCTATAGGGCGCGTGTGCTCGCCAGACTGACAGAGACAGAGAGACAGAAAGCGAGAAATCACCCCCCAGGGGGGATGGTCATGCCGCAATCCCTTCTCCTCCATTCTCCTCTCGGGATCTTGGGCACGCACGCACACGCGCCCGGTGTGAGTTCTAAGCCACCGGGTCCAGGACGTGAGCCGCGGTCGACTACATGGGAGTCCAGCGACATAGCCATTACACTAACTGCTGGTTCCCAACTATTCCAGTTCTTTAAGTCTCAATTTGCTTGTCTTCAAAACAGATCTAAAACTCCTGCGGGATTGTGAGGGTTGAGTGATGGGACGGCACCCAGCGCAGTACTTGTAACACAGCATAGCCATGTCACAACTGTTACTTCTTCATCTTTTTTCCGTGTCTTCACAAGGGCAGTTGGGAGAAAAAGAGAGGACATCTTGGTCTGTGCATTTGCATTCTTCCTTACTAGCGTGTGGGAGCAGGAATAAGCATATCTTTTCAATTGAAAAACGAGAGCGTTAGAACTCAAGGAAGAAATTTTCCTAAGATTAGAGTACAGATACTAGAGTCTGGGCGTTGAACTCTGTGTATTGGACAGTGCAGAGTATTTGTCATAGTGATTACTGAGGGTAAGCTTTCTCTTTCTGGAATTTTGAGATGAGCATGTAATGGTGTACTTCTTTGGAAGTGTTATATAAGGCATTGGGAGAGTCTCTAAGATTTATTTGTAATTTTTAAAATTAACCTTTTCATTTTGAGATAATTGTAGACTCATGTGCAGCTGTGAGACATAAGGTGAAGGAATCCTGTGTACTTCTTCCCCGGTTTCCCTCAGTGGTAGTGTCTTCCAAAACTCTGGCTGAAACCTCAGTCAGGGCATGGATGCCATCATCCAGCCTTACTCAGATTGGCCAGTTTTACGTATTCTTGTTTGTGTGTATGTGTATCTCTTTCTATGTAGTTGAACTTGTGAAAGTTCTTGGGTCTACCGTGTAGTCAGTCTACACGACAGTTCCTCACTATGAGGACTCCTTTTGTCACCCTCTCACTAGCACACCCATCCCTCTCCCTATCTCTGACTCTTGTCAATTTTTAATTTGTTCTCCATCTCTTTGATGTTGTCACTTCAGGCATGTTATATTGTGAAATCATACAGAACAGAACTTTTTGGGATTGTCGCTTTTCACTCACTGTTAGTTACTCTCTTGAGATTTATCGAGCTGCGTATCAGTAGTTTGTTCCTCTTTACTGCTGAGTAGGGTTCTTGGGATGGATGTACCATCTGGTGTTTAGCTATCACTCACAGAACAACTTCTGGGTTATTTCCATTTTTGGGTTCCTATGAATAAAACTGCTGTGACATTTGTGTACAGGTTTTTGTATGAAGCTGTGTTTTAATTTCTAAGATTTTTACTATGTTTTCCGTCTTTCTTCTCTTACTGTGTATTCAGATATCCTTTTAGACTTGGACTCTCCTGCTCCTGTCACAACACCAGCACCAGCTCCAGCCTCTGCAAGCAATGACTTGTGGGGAGACTTCAGCACTGCATCCAGGTAATGGGCCAAGTACAGCCGGCACATTGTCATCGTCATTCAGGATGGAGCAGAAATGTGCAGTGTTGAGTGAAATCTTTGATCTGGGGAAGGAGACTTGCAGGTCATGCAGTTCTGGGGAAGGAAATACAGGAGTTCTGGTTATGATGGACAAAAAAGCTGGACAGTGAAGTTGGAGTGGGATATTTCAGGCCTTAGTAAGTAGAGTTGCTGTGAAGTAAGGTTTCAGAAATTCTTGGTAATGATTTCTTAGAAACTATTAAGTGAAGGATGGAGTAATTATTCCTACTGGATTTCTCTCTGTTCCCCTGTCTTGCAGCTCTGTTCCAAACCAGGCACCACAGCCGTCCAACTGGGTCCAGTTTTGAATAGCATTGGCAGTACATTAAGGACAGACTTGAAAAATGAAAATGACCTGGAGGGCACCAATCTGTGAGGGAAGTTAGGAAGCCCTTCCTTCCCCAGAACCAGAATTACTGGACAGTCTTTTTCATAGCTTCTCCATTGCATTGAGGCTGGCTCGTGTCACTCCCTGTGTTGTTGCTCTACAGCCAAGAAGGCGTCTGTTCTCTCCTGCTCATTACCGGGCGGGGAATAGTGGGTCTCATACTCGGGGCTGATTATGCAGGGCTCAGAAGGCCTGCGTTTGTTTGAGGGGAATAACCTCTAACATCTGTAAAATTGTTCTCCGTCTTTTAAATTCTTTACCTTATTTCAGAATCATCTCACAACCCTTGTGTGCCTCTTCGTGAAGCCCTATTTAGCCATTTCAGGGGAGACAAACTTCCTTCTCCACTAACCCAAGACTAAAAATGGACAGGCTGACCTCAGTGTTTACAAATTCAGAATTTCGATAGGGGTAGGTTTGGAGAAAGACGTGTTTCCTGGGTCTCTGCTGCGCAGCTTCTTCGAGCTTATCCTGCTAGCAGACATCCAGTGTCGGGTGCAGCTCCGTCACCCTCTTGCGTGTTTACATGTTTCTTCCTATGATGAGAGGGTTGCATTGGTGGCACCTCCACTATTTTCTGTTTATTGAACAGTGTAGCATCTTCGGCCAGTGGGTATCCCTGGGATGGAGGAGATTCAGGGGGTTGTGTTTTCCAAGTCCTATTCTATGGAGATCATTTATTTCTTGCAGCCCTATTTCTTGCTGCATTTGAAGCACAGCGTTAATTTGTACCCGCCCCATGATTTGACCTGACCTTGAAGGGTTTAGAGTTCTTAACCTAAACTGTAGAGCAGAGGAATTGAAAGCACTTCGCTCCTGTTAAATACCCACATTGCCTTTCTGCCTGGGTATTATTTTATAAATGTTTCTTTTCCAGTCCATCTATCTGTTCAGTAATTAGCTCCTATGTATACTATTTTGTGAAGGAAGTCGGAGAGTCACAGCCTTACCCTGACAGATTTCTCCCAAAGCTTTGATACTTCTCCCGCAGGGTGTATCAAATTCAATCACTGTCCCACCATTTCCCTTTTCTACTGCCCTACCATTCTTTTACAATGCTGTGAAGAAAGTTCCCTTTCTTAGATGAATGTGTACTATTTATTTGTCTCTTAATGGACAATTTCGAGGATAAAATGGGAGGATATAATTTCTTAACACCTATCGTGTGTGTGCACTATGGCTGAAGGGAGGCCTTATATTTAGTTTCAAAATACATTCTCCTGAATTTCCTTCTTTTTTTTAACTTTGGGTCCATTTTAATTTAATTTTTTTTCCATTGTCTCCCCTTCCAGGCAGCTCTATTCTTTCATTCAGAGCCATGACAGGACATTTTAAAATTCCAATAGAAAACACTAAAAGGAAAGTCTGTAGAATCGCTAGTGACTGACTACTGGGAACCTATTTTCTCACTCTTCCTCCATGTTGTGTTCTTTGTATTCTCAAGATGATAATATATTATGTATTTGAATTGCTGAAGAATTGAAAATGAAGTTTAAGATATATGTATATAAAGCGTATGCTGTATTGGTGCAATAATGGTAATTAAAAATGTGAAAAAAGTGGTGTCTTTATTTTTTAATTTGCCTATTTTTAAAAAAGAATTATTTATCTTTATTTCTTCTTCTTATTATTATTATTTCCCAGTTTAATGAGAGAGAGACAGAGAAAAAGAAGAGGGGAAGTGAGAAAGTAAGCCATCAGGTCTGGGACTCAGAATTGTGATTGGTCATGAGGGAGTCCAGCACCTTTAACCACCACACCACCTGCTGGCCCCATAATTTGCCTGTTACCTTTTGCATTTAATTGATTCAATAGAAATGGGCCAGTGGTAATAAAATTTCGTATATCTGTTACTCTTTTTTATGAAGTTAAGACTAGGGGCCAACTGATAGTGTGGTGGTTAAGGCGCTGGATTCTCACCTGACTGACTGTGGTTTGAGTCCTGGACCTGCCTGGTGGCTTACTTTCTTACTCTCTATCTCTCTCTCTGTTTTTCTCTGGTGAGCACACACGACCTGTAACAAATTAAAAAATAATAATAATAAAATTAAATAATTCTGTGCTCAAGGTTCTAAACCAACAGAGCACCCCTTACAATAAATGAATTATTTATTTACTAGTACAGTTAATTTCATTTGCTTCAAACCATCTTCTTGACAGGCCTCCTTCCACATCTGAGAACTATAATCACCAGAGATGAAAGCAATTAGTGTTAGAGAACTTAAGTCAGTGTTAATAGACTGAAAAGTAGGAAAGATCTTGGAATTCTAACTCGGTGATTGTCACAGGTGAGTCACCATAATGTGGTGCACTAGACCTGCCTTACAAGAAAGGCTAAAAGAAATGTCTTCAAGCTGGAAATGAAGGCTGCTAATTAGTGAAATGAAAATGTATGAAATTAAATCCCAATTGGCAAAAGTAAATAGTAAAATTCAGAATATTCTAATATGTAGTGGTAATGTGTAAATCACCTATAGCTCTAGTAAAGAGATTAAAAGGCAAAAATACTAAAAATTTTTTTTTTTAATTTTTATTTTCTACCTTAATTCACTGTACACCATCACAACCCACCAATGAATTTTACATCCAAAATACACTGTGTACTGGTTCAATCAAGCACAGCAACATGCATGTTCTCAGCAAGTAATTTTCCAATTCTTACATCCTGCATACCTTGCCCTTTGTCTTGCCATCCCTGATTCCCCATCCCCCACCCTCTGCCATGTCCCATCTTCCTCC